AACTCACTTTACCACTTGAGCCAATGCTCCAAAGGGTTCAATCAACTCATATGCTTTCACAATTCGTAATATAACTTGAGCCAATGCTCCTCGATGTTTAAAGGTCATAATTCCTTCTACAAACTTTTCACAACAAATAGAAATCAACTCTAAAGCATGGATAATAAAACGAAGTCATAAAAATCACAATATAAGACTCACGGGCATGCTTGACACCAACGTATAGATACTCATCACCATGCCTATACGTCGTACTCAACATTTATCACATAGCAAATAGGACTCAACTCCTAATCCCTCAAGCTAAGGTTAGACCAATTCGCTCGTATCTAGTCACAAATTACTTAATTACATCAATAAACGCTAAATGAATCAGTTTGAATGCATGAAAATGAGTTTTCTAAAGTTTTACCCAAAAAGTCAAAAATTGCCCCCGGGCCCACATGGTCAAAACCCGAGGTTCGAACCAAAACCCGATTACCCATTCCCCCACGAACTCAAATATATAATTTGTTTTGAAATCGGACCTCAAATCGAGGTCCAAATCCCCAATTTTTGAAAAACCTAGGTTCTACCCAAAACACCTAATTTCCCTCATGAAAATCATTAATTTTGAGTTGAAATCATGTTAAAAGATGTTAAGGAGTGAAGAAAATGATTTAGAAATCACTTACCAATATTTTGGAGAAGAAAAGTTGTTTGAAAAATCGCCTCTTATGTTTGTGGGGTTTTGAAAAATGAAAAATAACTGAAAATCCCATCTAAATATACTCCTCTCAGACTCCTTGTGCGGGCCGCACAAAATCAACTGCGGCCGCACAGCCTCTCAGGCTCACTGTGCGGACCGCACAAAATCAACTGCGGCTGCACAGCCTCTCAGATTCCCTGTGCGGATCGCACAAAATCCACTGCGGCCGCACAACCTCTCAGACTCCCTGTGCGAACCACACAAAATCCACTAAGGCCGCACAGCCACCAGTGCGGACAGCACAAAACCAATGCGGACCGCACTAACAGGTTCAGAGAGCCGCAGCTTGTTTTTTGAACCTCCAATAGCTATTTTTAAGCCTAAGACACCCCTGAACCTACCCGAAACTCACCCGAGCCTTCGGAGCTCCTAATCGAACATACGTACTAACTCAATGACGTCATATGAATTTATCCATGCGATCAAATCGCCAAGATAACCTCAATAACAACGAATTAAGCCTCAAAATCAAAAAAAAAATTCTTAAACTTCGTAAAACATCAACTTTTGCAATTTAGGTCCGAATCACGTCAAATGACATCCGTTTTTCACCAAATTTTACAGTTATCTTTCAAATACTATAACAAGTTTGCACCGGGCTCCGGAACCAAAATACGGGCCCGATAACATTGGTTTCAAACATTAATTTTTTTCTTTATTTCTTAGATAATTCAGTAAAACAATTTCTTTTCAAAAATTGATTTATAAGGCTTGGGACCTCGGAATTCATCTCCGAGTATACGCCCAAGTCTCATATTTTACTATGGACCTCCCAGGATTGTCGAAACAGGGATCTGAGTCCGTTTACTCAAAATGTTGACCAAAGTCAACCATAATCAAATTTTTTAACTCTAAAGATTTCTATTTCTCATATTTTCACATAGAAAGGCTTTCCGGATATAGGCCCGGACCGCACACGTAAATCAAGGTGGGGTAATAAGGAGGTTTTTAGGCCTCAGAACATTGAATTCACTTGCAACACAAGTGATGACCTTTTGGGTCATCACACTGTACAATTTATATACAATAGACTATCACTTTATAAAAAATATACTAAATAGACTATCACTATACAAAAAATATACATAGACTATCACTATACATAAAATATATAAAATTGACATTTCGTGCTATTAGATGTAATATGTTTGCGCCGGAGGAACATTTCGTATCAATGGTGAAAAACATGACCTATTAAAAATTTGAGGGGCTATAAAGGGTCATTTTCTATAATAAAAAAAATCAGAAATAGTCTGATTTATAATTGGTAATTGAAAAGTAGGTACAATTTCAAAAGTAATCAAAATTTAGTCACTTTTTCATGTAAAAATAAAATTTAAATAAAAACACCTTAAAGCCAAAATTTCCGTGAAGGACATGCGACCTCGCACCTGCGGTCCCCAATCCGCAGGTGCGGAAATGACAGAAGCAGCAAAATCGGTAGCATTAACTCAAAGCCGAACTTTCCGTCAACTACCCAAATGCATCCTGAGGCCATCGGGACCTCAACCAAACATGCCAACAAGTCACATATCACCATTCAAACTTATTCCAACCCTCGGGACACTCAAGACAATATCAAAACACCCAATCACCCTCGGATTCAAGCCTAAGAGTTTCCAAACTTCTGAATTCCGCAAACGGTGCCAAAACCTATCAAACCTCATCCGAATGACCTAACATTTTGCACACACATCACAATTGACACTACGGACCTACTCCAAGTTTCAGAATTTCATTCCGACCCCGACATCAAAATTTCCATTGCCGACAGGAAAATGCCAAATTTCCAATTTTGCCAATTCAAGCCTAATTCTACCACGGACCTCCAAATCACATTTCGGGCACGCTCCCAAGACCAAAATCACCTAACGGAGCTAACCAAATCATAAAAATCCAAATCCGAGAACGAATACTAAAAAGTCAAAACCTGGTCAAACCTTTCAAATTTAAAGCTTCAAGCTGAGAATCATTCTTCCATCTGTGCCGATTAACCTGAAAACCAAAACCAACGATTTACATAAGTCATAATACATCATACGGGGCTTGTCATGCCCGAGAACTGGCGAGCGAAGTGCAAATGCTTAAAATGGCCGATCGAGTCGTTGCAAAAATAGACTGTCACTATATAATTTATATACTAAATAGACTTTCACTATACAATTTATATACTAAATAGACTGTCACTATACAATTTATATACTAAATAGACTGTCACTATACAATTTATATACTAAATAGACTGTCACTATACAAAATAGATGTCACTAAACAAAATATATACGAAAAATGATTGTCACTATACAAAAACTATTCAAAATAGATGTCACTATATAAAATATATACAAAAAAGATTGTCACTATACAAAATATATACAAAATAGATGTCACTAAACAAAATATATACGAAAAATGATTGTCACTATACAAAAACTATTCAAAATAGATGTCACTATATAAAATATATACAAAAAAGATTGTCACTATACAAAATATATACAAAATAGATGTCACTATACAAAATAGATCGTCATTATACAATTTATGTACAATAGACTATCACTTTATAAAAAATATACTAAATAGACTGTCACTATACAAAAAATATACATAGACTGTCACTATACATAAAATATATAAAATAGACATTTCGGGCTATTAGATGTAATATGTTTGGGCTAGAGGGATATTTCGTGTCAATGGTGAAAAACATGAGCTATTAAAATTTTGAGGGGCTATAGAGGGTCATTTTCTATAAAAAAAATCATAAATAGTTTGATTTACAACATGTAACTGAAAAGTTGGTACAGTTTCAAAAGTAATCAAAATTTAGTTACTTTTTCATGTAAAAATAAAATTTAAATAAAAACACCTTAAAAATCATGAAAAATTCTAGTATAATATGTTGGAGTTCGAATTTTTTACATGTGAGATTCCAGCATAATATGCTGGAATTTCATAATGTGACGAAGTTCCAACATAATATGCTGAAAGTTTATACGCAAGAGCTTCATAATCTATCATATTATGCTAGAGTTGTCCATATTTCAGCGAGGGTATTTTTGTCTAGATTTTATCTCTACATAAAATAGTAATTATTTTTCAATGACTTTGCAAACGTTGGTTGTTTTTCGATTGTCAATTATAAATCTGGCTAGCCCATACTATTTTCACATAAAAACTTACTCATTATCAAGATTTGTCTTTCATAAAGAGCATACTACAAAGCTCACTATAAAAGAACTTTTCTCCGACAAGTCCCTGAGCCAACGAGAAAAAGGGGATTGCATCTATAACTGATTTTGGGGTTACTATTGAAGTCATACTTGCATTGTACAAAAAATTACGAAATTTACACATTTCAAAATACACTTAAAAATTCGCATTTGATCACTTTTCGAATTTACAAATTTAGGGTTTCGAAATCGGATTTGAAGCTCTTCTATTGCTTCAAAGTGCAACTTCAGAATCGGAATTGAAGTTATATCTCTTCAATGCAACTTCAAAATTGGATTTGAAGTTCATCCATCTCTTCAAGGCAACTTCAAAATTGGATCTGAAGTTCTTCTATCTCTTCAATGCAACTTTAGAATTGGGATCTAAAGTTCTTCTATCTCTTAAATGCAACTTCAGAATCAAATCTGAAGTTCTTTTTTATCTCTCAAGAGGTTCGTTTCATCAGTTTCAACAAGAACACCTTCAAACAAGCTTTCTCTAGGTTCAACAACGGTGGCTTTCGATTTCTCCACCACAATCTACAAAAACAGCTCAAAAGTTGGAATATCAGTTTTAAGACAAGGAAGGAGAAGAAGAGAATAGAAGGAGAAACAGCCGCAAAGAAGCAACCGCAGGGAAGAAAAAGAAGCAGCAGCAGGCGAAAAACAGAGAAGAAAGTGGTAAGTTAAATGAAGACAATCAAATAGGACGCCCGTGAAATTTTTATAGAAAAATAGTCAGTGCAGTTACAAAACCAGGTTAATTTCTCGTAGTTTTTTATTACGTTATCAATTGAAGTACACGTATTATCTGACCATGGTTAAGTTACGGTTAATATAGAAGAGATCTGTCATGCATTGACCCAAAAAATCATAAGCAGCTTCTGAACCAAATTAAGAATGGCCCAACAAAAGTGATAACAATCTAGCAAACTGGTCCTCGATCTTTTTACATTATCTTTATACTCTTCCACCAGTCTTTGTAATATCATATGGATTGGGGATGAACACAAGCATACAAAGTAAAAAAGACGAGCTCAAAAAGAAGAAAATTAGAAGAAGGAAAATACCCGAGTCCACAAGGTGGAAAACAACTCTAATTCAAAGTTAAACTTACTCAGGACAGTACAAAGGAAACCGAGAATTCACCAACAGTTTTACTTAAGAAAGTCTTATTACCAGCAAGCTGGAGTTGAATGCTAAAACCTATTTCGAACGCTGCTACTTTATGACAATTCATAAACTCCAATAAAAGGCACCAGTACAGAACCAATCCACAACTTCCCGTTTTTCTCCTCGACCTCACTTAAAAACTTCAAGGTTTTGCTCTCGACATCTTCTAAAACTTCCAAGACTTGCCCCTCCTCACTTAGCTTAATTGCAGTTGCATGTGGCTGCCCTCCAACTAACAGGTAATGCAGTTGCTGGAAGGTGAATGGAAGTTTTAGCAATGTCCTTCCGAGCCAAGAATTGGATGTGACCAACCGTGCAAGCAGCGACCTTTTTGAATGCAAAGCAACCCAGAACTCCCCTCTGGAGTTTCTTCTAATGTTGTCTGGATATCCTGGTAGATCAGCAAATGTAGCATGTTTTCCTGCATCAGGGCCTTTAAGCCAATACTTTACTATTCTACCAGTAGAAGTTTCAGCCACCAGTACAAAGGACTTGTCTTTGCTCAAGGCTACACCATTGGCGAACGCAAGGCCTCGTAGTAAAACTGTCACTGCTTTGGTTGATTTGTCGTATTTCATCAGCCGGCCAGTCTTGTCTCCAATTACGACAGATGCAATAAATTGCCTAAATAAAACATGAAAAATTGGAATCAGTCTCTGAACGGATCTCTCTACCTTATGAAGTAGAGGAGGTGAGGGCTTTCACAGTTCACGTTTGCAGGCTATCATCTGAAAAGCTCAATCATCACAAGTGCGATGGTAGATAAGCTGCTCATTACAGAAAGAATACAACTTGACCATAAGAATGTCAGTTTGACACAGTGCCAGCTTCCTACTAAGGCTACTACATGCAGCATATCACTTAGAAGCTAATAATGGAAACTGACTTCTCTGCTTTGCTGTGTTATCAACGACAACTTACATGCGATCTAATCTAGATATATACTAAACTATAACACTCAATTTGCTTCGCATGAATAGATTCACATTTCAGATTATTCCATTGGCAATAAATTACCTCCTTTGGAATTGTGTGCTGGTATCTGTGAAGTAAATGATATCTTCTTGCTCATCAAGGTCCATGTCATTTGTGAAGCGCAGAGGCTGGCCTTCAACTTCTGTGACAAGTGGGGTAGCTAATCCTCCAGATGGCCCCACAACTTGAAGTCCTAAGTAGGCATCAGCAATGTAGAGGTCCCCAGTTCTTGTATCAAATCGTAAGCCCAGCGGCCTTCCACATACATGCTCCATATGGGGAGCAAAGGGGCGCACACATTCCTTCCTTGAAGATAGATGTCAAATTCCATTAGATAATGCTGAAATTGTCAATTGGAGAATGTTGTATACATAGAAGAGATATTAGCTTCATTCTGCAAAGTTCAAACTGTGCATGTATATTATCATTATGCAAAGTTCAAACTGAGCATGTATATTACCTTCTTGGTACTCTTTTTGAAGTTTCTTTATAAACGTTATTTTACCCGATTAAAAGAAGAAAAAAATAACTGTGCCTGTATACTAACCAGAATCTTGCAATTGCTATATGTGAAGATAAGCCTGTAACTTGAAAAGAGAACCTATCACCTACTCCTGGACTTAACTTTAGTCCTTATTTCAATACCAGCATTTCTGATTGCTAAACAAGTTATTGCTGAACGTAGATCTAAGTATATCTGTTTTTAGATCTCTGTTTTCTTTCACTCCATTCGAATCTTCCTAGCTAAAAGGACTATGTATGACAGAGCATGACACGGGCCACTTGAAATGCAACTGCTAATAACAAGTCCATCTGCACAGGTTTCTCTTAGAGGTTAAAGGTATAATCTTGCTTCTTGAACATAAATAAAAAGCATCAAAACTTTCAAGTGCTTCCCTGCTTAGACAAGGCTTCTTTACTTTCTCCTTTCAATAAAGACACAGATGAAGGGTCATTTTTTTTAAGAATCTGATTAAATAAAGCCTAGATGAACAAAGACAAACAGCCATCAAATAAAAAGATGACACACAGTATGAGTCCTTAGGTGACAGATAAGAAGAACCAGCAAAATAAGAAGATGAGTAGATGACTAACATCTAGTTTAAACTTTAAAAGAAGTTATTAAAGAAATTGTTTCAAGTTGAATGTAAGGATGCTGAGATAGAGAAAACATGACTGTACAACTTAATATTGGAACTTATTGAAGATTTACTGAAAAAACTTATCTATAGATGCATTTCAATAATTAGGACGTCCCAAAATAAAAGGTTTGGTTAGACAAATGGAAAGTTTAATAGAATACAACTAGAACTAACTGGAAGTTCATGACTATGAATTTTAAACATGCCTTTTTTTGGTTAGTGGAGTTTAAGATATACCATTAGCTCTACTCATGACGGACAAACAATAAAGCTTTCTAAGGTATACTAATTTCTCCCAAATCATCGCTTTTCAGGTCTAGAGATTCAATACATAAATTTATAGTTAACTCCATCTACGAAAACACACGTCACTGTACAAAAACAAATTGAGTAGGGGTGTGCATTCGAATCGATTATTTGTTATCGGTTTATCGATTTTGATTTCGAAATTTTCCTTATCGAGTTATCGATTTCGATTTCGATTTTGTCCTCTTCGGTTATCGGTTTATTAATAAACCGATAAGATATACTAAAAAGACAAATATACCCTTATTCTATAATACCCTTTCCTTTTACCCTAAGTCCCTAACCCTATTATTTCCTCTACCCATTCTTCAGCGCCGCTTTAAAGAGAGGTCTTCTCTTTAAAGGAGAGCTTCCTTGCTTGGGAAAAGCTTCTTCAAAGCCCACTCCCAACCGAGACAGAGGTGATGGACTTAAGATATTAAGACTACTGAAACTAAGCCACTAGAAAATGGATGGGACAGAGCTCAGCACAGGGAACATCTTACTGAACAAACGGGGCTACAAACATCAAACAAAAATGTAACGTGAGGTAATCTAGAAATCTCATCTCTTGATGTTTTGTGTCATGGGCTACTTCCCGTAAGATAGTAGCTCTAATACCTGCTTTCACCTTTGTCCTGGATTTCTTTGCATATATGGTAACTCGTTAGCTTCGTAATTTCCCACTGTATAAGCTCTCTGGTCATACAAGTATGTAGAAACTACAGGCCTTTTAATGCGGCTAACTGGCAGATCCTCTTAACCCTTATATGCAGCGGCGGAGTTAGCCTATCAGCTACGGGTCCAACCGAATCAAGTAGCTTTGGTCCAATTTCTGTATTTGTCTTACGAAATTTATTGAATCGATAAGTGGAATCCCGCAAATTTTCTTATTAGTGTAATCGATAACCGAATCGATAAGCCCCAAAAATCGATAAATCGAAATCGAAAAAATCGAAACCTTATTGAAACGATAACGATAAGCATATGTACAAATCGATAAGTAATTATCGATAAGGGTCAAAATCGAATCGATAAATCGAATGCACACCCCTAAAATTGAGTAAAGTAAGGTTCTTCAATCTCCTGAATACACAGATTCCAAGATCAGAGGCCTATAAACCCGTATAAACATGTCTAAAAGTCTAAGCTATGTTCACAATTGACACTTCCATTAATCATAAGAAACAACTAGTCCAGAGCTTAAGGAGGAAGGTTATCTCAAAAAAACTGCAACCACTAAAGATCTGTGCACCTTAGTTAAGAACATAACATCATGGAAGCAAAGGTTCCACATACGCAATACAAATTACTTGAGATTAAAGATTAGTTATTGTTGTTACACTTACATGAGGTCTTGTGTTTATCAGGAATTTGTTCAGCTTGTTAAGAGGTTATGTCAATCAACGGATACGTGAAATTTAGAGAATCTCTAGCATTAGGAGAACCCCTAATTTATTATAAAAGTCAAATTGTAGTATAAGAAAAAAATAAGCCCGAATAGAATGGTGCAGCCATAGTTAGGACTAGCTTAGTCAATTGATTGATAGAATATGTCTGGAACTTAAAGGTATGGCCGAGCAGTCAAGAAAGCTGGAATGGACCGTGCATGATCCGGGTTCAAATCAAAACTTAGGTTATTTTTTCTCATTTGTCTAAACCATGGTGGACCGGGTAACCACATACTTTTACTAGTAGAAAGTAGTAGGTACCAGTGGATTAAACAAGGTAGACGCTATCTCTCCTACATACCACCATTATCATTTGAATAGATACTATACCATCATCACCATTCATCAAGTAAATTACAAATTGCAAGCATATCTTTGTTTTAATTGGGTATTAATAACAATAATAACTAGTCGAAGCATCAAACCAGCTTTAAGATAATGTCAGTGTTAGTCCATCATCCACCAAGTTACGAACCATGCGCCAGCTAGCCCTCGGCAATTTCTAATTTACCCCCCCAAAAAAGTACCTCTCTTCTTCCAAGAATCACTTTTGCAACATTTCTGAAAGTTCTATCATACTTTTTTCTCCCTTTACATAAATTTTTTTTACACCAAAGTCCTAAGAGGCTTGGCCATTTAAATTTCAAAGCTCTCATTCCAACCAATCCATTATAGTAATACAACTTAGGGATCATTTAATCGGCCAATTGCAAGCATTTTAAACCATGTTTAAAGAATTTAACAATTACTAACCTAAAGATCTACAGAATATAAAAACGTAAAGTCAGGAAAATAAACAAGGGATTGGGATTTCTTCTTTACCTTTGAGATGAAGTGACAGCAAAATCAACCCAACCTTGAGAATCTCCTTGCCACTTAAGAATCCGGCCATCGGCAACGCCAGTATATGGACCTTCTCCATTTGGGTCAAACGCAAGACTTTCTGGCCCAACAGCTCCTTTCAGCTGAATTACCTCAGCTTTAGATAAAAGGTCTTTGGAGCCTGCTATTGAAGGTGGCCTGTACACATTTTTGGAGCTCAAAGTTAAAATTACAGTGATTATTGCGAGTGCTGATGCACTAAAGATTAGCTTTGTAGTGTTCATGGGAAGTATCAAGTATGATTTTTTTTCCGGTTTCGTTTACGTAAGATAGAAATGATCCTAGAAGATAGACGGATATTTCAATCCAAAAAAACGAGTGAGCAAAGTTCGGGTGAAACCCAATGTTGACTTTTCCAATTTGTGCTTTTGACGGACATTTATTTGTGAATTTCGAAAAAACCATAAAATGGGAGAACTTTCTGCCAAATAAATATGCAATTTAGGGGTGGTTTGGTACGAGGTATTAGAAAAAATAATACAAGCATTAGCTCTATGTATTATTAATATTTTATTTGGTATATTTTTTTAAATATGTGTATAACTAATATTTGTATTAATTATACATCATACTTGGTATTATTCTATGTATAAGTAATGCATTGAAAACTATCACATTAGTAATACCAATGCTATTAATGCATGCATTAGTATAGTTAAAGACAAAATTATCCTTAAAGTACCTTAAAGTTAGAGAATATGAAGAGTACTTTTGTAAACAACTATTTTTCTTAAAATTTATGCAATGCATTATAATTTTTAATACACCACACCAAACAGTAGATAAGAAATAATATCTGCATAACTAATGCTTACATTACTAATCCATGCATTACTAATACACCTTATTCCGCACTATTCTTATACACTCTACCAAACGACCCCTTAGGGTGCCGTCTAAATGGCTACAATAATAATACAATATAGTAGTAGTATTCAGTTGAATACATAAGAAAAACATAAATTTTAACTTAATTAATATAATTGCGAGCACAAAACAAAACTTTGCTTAATAAATGCAGGGGCATTTGTATCTATACCCGCTTTTTAGGTCATGTTTTAACTTATACCCACTTTGCAAAAAATATTGCAAGCGTACCCATTTTCGCGTAACTTCAGGCATACGGACCTGAAGTGTAGCATTTGGCCTGGCTTGCAAAGGCAATCACACAAACTTCAGTTCATAATGCAAAATTGCAAACTTCAGTTCAATAAAACATCAGCATGCGTTGGCTGAAGTTTTTGTTTGTAATTGCTGAACTTCAGCATTCTAGTAGCTGAAGCTTTGTTATGTATTTGCTGAACTTTAGCATGTTTTAGCTGAAGCTTTGTTCTGTTTGTGATGAACTTCAGGGCTAAAGTTTGTTTTGTATTTGCTGAACTTCAGCATTCTAGGAGCTAAAGTTTTTGTTTATATTTGTTGAACTTCAACATTCTTAGAGCTGAAGTTCTAAAACAATAATGAATTTAATTGTTACACCTCACGTTTTCATACGTGAGAGTACGTCGTAAGCCATTGATGTAAGCTCGGAAATGAGATTATATTTGGAAGCAAATAAAGTAAGTTAATCATGTTACCTTGGAGGTTACAAATATTTAAGATCATAAATAACGAGTACCAAGAGGGTTGGAAAGCTTAGAAGCTAAACCAATTGAAGAAAATAAGTTTCGTCGAAAGTCGACAAGTTTGGAATGTTATAACATGTAATTTGGGATGAGACTAGGGTTCTTAACATGATAAGGAGGTTATGCTATGAGTTATTTCATTCGTGTGATAGTCATTTGCTACGTTTTGAAGGCAAGCAAGTTGTGGAACAAGAGTTGGCAAAGGTCATCACAAGTTACATTCATATATTTGCTGAAAATTGGGTCAAATGTAGTTGAGCTTTTCTCCAAATATACTTGGAATTATGGGGTGATCTACCTACCAAATTGAATATCTACGAGTCTAGTTTCTAACGCATTAAACTGTTCGTCAATACGACATCGGATTAGAGAGAAATTTGCATTTTTACGAGACCATGCAAGCAGCTCTCAATGGGACCCACTTAGGCGGTGGTCGACCTACTTCACTTTATAAACGATTTGGACGGCTATTTTTAACTTATTTTCCACTCAACTTCGTCTCCAAACTTCTCCTAACCTTTCTAAATAGATACCACAAGGGTTTGAAGTGATTTCAAAGTGATTACACCATATTTCAACATCAAAACTTAGTTCTAGTGAAGAACAACACCTCTTTGAGGTTGTGTTGTCATTGAGGATTGTGGTGGGTTGTGTTTGGCTGAAATTCCAAGTTGTTGCTACTGGCTAAGATGAGTATAACAACCTACTAATTGTGCTTAAGCTTGCTTGTATGTTGGTTAAGTTGTTCGGATGATAAACTACAAAATAATACTTGGATTAGCTTAAGTCACTTCTATGGAGTTGTATTGTTATTGAGGGTTGTTGTAAGCTGAATATAACTTGGATTTTAACTTGACATTACTGTAGGAGGTTTTTGTATTATGTTCTTGCATGTGCTTAAGGTTATCTTGATGTTGATTAAGCTAAATGGATGGAGTAGATATGAACTAGTGAATAAAGTTACTAATTGAAGATAGTTGGAGTTGAGGATTGTTTCCTTTGTTATAAATATATGGTATAAGGATGGAATCATTGATGAATGAATTCATTATCATGTTAATGATACTGTTAAGTTAATGTAAGAAGTCTATAAGGGGTGATATGGTTTTCCAATCGGAGCTTGCCGCTCGTCGTGAAGTAGTTGTGACTTGTTGTTGTTATATGGTGTCTTGTTATTGATATTTATATGTTGATGGATTTCTCTGGTTGTTTTTGTTGGTATATGGTATTGGAGGAGGCCCTTGTTACAGGGGAGATGCTTTCGGAATTTACGTAAATGAGCTGCTAGCTTAAGTTACAAACTTAGCCTTTGCTCAGCACTGATTTTGAATCTTCTTATACTATGATAAATTGAGTTGACTTGTTTGAAGAGTTGCTTGGAAGGTATTAAGGACTCAACGGGTTTAAGATATGTTAAGGCACTTCCTTCTTTCTTTTGGCATGATCTAAAGTGAAATGAACATAAACGATACGCTATTTTATAACGGTTCTACTCCTAGCAACTAAGGCTACCCATATTGTTCTTTCCTTATAAAGTCATTACAAAAATGTATATATGATCCTTGAATCCTATTGAGGTTCATATTGATGGTATGGATGTTCATAATGTTAGTTGAAGGTGCAACGACCTTATGTCACTCCGAAAGGTTTAGAACTTGATTCCATGAGTCCAACATGCATTATATCTATGTATCTATTTTACTCTACCGAGCCGCGCTATAGTCAGGGAGGGGGGAGGGGGGTACGACACCTATTGTGAAATCACTGATTAGTTGGGTTTTATCGAGCTCCACGTGACCGGGTCTGATTCTACCAAGCCTTATGATGGCCGGGTATATTTTTACCGAGTCCTCTTCGAGGCCGGGTACGATATGATAATGATGATGCCCACAAAGGCATATGTTTTTAAAAGTTTATGTATGTGTNTATATATATATATATATTTATCATGCATTTCATGTCAGTAGCCCTCAGAGGCACTCACATGCTATAGGTTGTTGTTGTTCCCAAACGCACACGCAAGTATACGTGGTCGACAAGTAATATAGGATTGTATGTCCAAATATCGTACCCACAGGGACTTGTGATTAACTATCAACTAAATTAAACCAAACGATTAATCTATTCAAGTGAATCCTAAAGTATGAATATTTAACTAAAATTAATCTAGAGCAACAAATTGAGAGATTAAAGAAAATAAGTTGGCAAAATTTGTCACGAATTCAATTAGAGACGATATTCTGGAGTTATGGGTTAGCTAACAATCCCATTGAGTTTTTCACTTAAATTGTCTAATTAATTTATCTAGTTTATTGATTGACAGGGTTAATATTACTCGTAGCCTTCTCCCGAAGTACTACTCGTCTATTCAAGCTAACCTAATGCCTATATTCCTATGGAATTAGAATTAACAAGAACGCATTAATAATTCCTGTATAGTAACCAAGCAAGGTGATTAGATATATTCCTATCCTAACCACAAATCCGCTCCCCCTTAGTGTTATGATCTTGCTCTACTCAATCTTATATGCAATCTAGAATTCCCTCTCCCGAGTTCAATCCTATATTCGTAGATAGTATTCAATTGGTGATCAAGCAATCAAATAATTAAGCGCAAGATTGAATAAATAAACCAATATGATAAAATAATAAGAACAATTCAAACTTTAAACCACAACATTCATGTAGCACCCAAAACTCTAGAGCTAATAAACTATGAAATTAAAGGAAGAAAAGAGAAGAAAAACTAGTTAGAAGCCTCCTCAAAACGTGGTTTGTGTTCCCCCGCATGAATTCTCCCTCAAAGTATGTTAGCCTCTCCAAAGTGGCATATATCCCTTCATAAATAAGTTTAGTCTTGCTTTTATACGTGTTGGGTAGGTCTAGGGCCGAAATAACCTTATCCCGGGCGAAATTGGAGAAAATGCACGTCACCGGTGCCCTGCCTAGCGCCAAGCACCCTCCACGGCGCTCCAATATTTTTGATTCTGTTTCTGGCGCAACATGTAGGGCTGGGCGCCACTTGTGGCGCTGAAATATGCCCTTTCCCTGTTTTCGTCCGTTTTGGCTCTAATTTTGCACATTTCACTCCCAATTGCTCCCGGATCATTCCTACACATAAAAATACCTCAAATTAATATAAATCAACATATTTTACATCCTAAATTCACAAAACAAAAGTAAAACATGAGGCGATATGCATACAAATATATATACTTTAAGCACAACATCAACACTCCACACTTAGACTCTTGCTCGTCCTCGAGCAATGGGACTATCAAATAAACCTCCAACTACATACAAATCTCAATTATAGAGGAGCAGTTTAACTTTTAACCACACACTATACCCTTGACTATGTTCAATACCGGCACATAAGCATGAACATACAAAATTTCACATTCTTCCCGTTTAAGCATGCCTAAGTATAACCTTTCAATTCAATCAATTCCAACAACCTATTTGTCACCACCCAACCTCAAAAGCCGACTTGTAACCATTAAGCACCCTCAACTCATGCACTCATCCAACAAGAAAGTTTACAACATTACCAATCATTCATGAGATCATGTGCCCTCACCAACAAACAAAAGAGTGAATATAGATTAGTTCACACATTCAAATATGCTTTTGAATATAGATTAAGGATGTGAGCACGTGATTTTTGCCCTATATGAATTACTCCCATAAATTCAAAACAAAATAATTTTCCCATTATTTACAAATTCGTGGATT